CCCGGGGTGAGGAAGAAGCTGTGGTGCTTAGACACGGGAGGAGGTCGGTGCCAACCCGTAACTCAGGGCGCCCCAGCTTGTGTGCATAGACTGTTGCCTCTGTTTTTGAATCTGATCATCCCTTTCTGGCAGTTTCTCGTCTCCATGCACTCACTACTGACCTAACAGCATGCCGATTTTCCCACCAAGAAAAGCCTCTGCTAGGACTGGAACCAGGACGCAACTACCACTCCTAATTCCACAGTGGACTGAGCGGCTGATTTTTAGCAACACCAATCTCCCATCCACGTGGCGGCAAGAAGACAGCAGCACTCCTATCACACAGCGTATGATGATACACATATTTGTGCCTCTTGTTCTTTTCACAGTTTGCAGGGGTGTCCTGGCTTTTCCTACGGACCAACAAGACTTGCTGAGCTCACTCAGATGTCTGAGAAGTCAGAACTCCACAATCGAAGTGCAAAAAAAATTCCGCACACACGGCACAAGGACAACTTCGCACAAGTCCCTTCCCCCCCCCCCCCCCCCCCCCCCCTTTTTCACCGAGCCTTCCGCACAAGTCAAATGTTTTTGATAGCATGCAAAAGGTGATTCTGCAGTTATTCAAGGTCATTTTTTTTTTCCCTTTTTCACCGAGCCTTCCGCACAAGTCAAATGTTTTTGATAACATGCAAAAGGTGATTCTGCAGTTATTCAAGGTCATAGGACAATGTCCTTCGGGACATCCGTTAAAATTGCAACGATACAGAGAATGAAAATTAGCATGGCCCCTGCGCAAGGATGACACGCATAAATCGAGCAATGGTCCAAATAAATAAAAAACGCATACTTGCGGCGCATCAACGTGTGCTGCACCACGCACACGCCCCGTACTGCGCACAGCGCACGACGCGTGCGGGGTGCGGCGCACCCCAAAAATAAGGGGTCGAGGAAAAAAAAAAAAAAAAGGTTGGGAAGGGGTGTTTTAGACCGAGTGGGATGTCGCGTCATAAACCACAAAAAAATATTAACAAAAATTTGAGGCCGCACGGGGCCTCCGAAAAAAAAAGGGGGGAAGTTCGTTTTTTTGTTTGTGTGTGTGTGTGTGTGTGTGTGTGTGTGTGTGTGTGTGTGTGTGTGTGTTGTTTGTGTGTGTGTGTGTGTGTGTG